CATTAAGTTTTCGCATTTTCCAATAATATTGTCTGCGAAATGATTTATTATCAAATGCGTAGACTTGGTTGCCAAGATACCCTCGGGGTTCCCGACGTTGAATACATTTTGAGATAATAGCCTGTTTGTTAGAAAAAATACTTAAATTGAAATTTGAATCTTTAAGCTTTAATTTGTTTATAAGATATTAATTTGTTTTGGAATTTGCCATAACATGATTAAAATTTCTCCGTCCGATTGTAATGCCATGAAACATACATGTAATAAATGTAAGGTGTTTTGTTTTGACACAGTTTTAATGAGGCTTGAACGCTTTCAGAGAAAGTCTATTGAAAAACTATTTCATTATAGTCAAGTATTTCTAAACATTCAATTGTTTTAAATAATGCCTTTACCAAAATATCACTTATTCATATAGGTAACTTCATGAACACAATCAGTAAAAAAATGATGCTTAAAAATTTACAAGCCGTATTTCGGACGACAAGAACTGGCAATAAAAGCGTTACTCCTTTAAATGATAAAAACATTTAATCTATCAGCTAGGCACGTTGACACAGGAGCATATTATTGTGGGAACAACATGCAAACACGTAATATAAAGTGAATTAAGTACACGTTGATTTTACTTGCCAGAATGCTTGTCTTCTATAAAGTCTATAATCAATAAATAGACAGATGACCAGTACGTACTCTTTATCTCTTTCGCACATTGCTCCGTCTTTGTCGTACGGCAATCTAGAGTGCTCAGTCTAGACGGTTCCGATCTTCCCTCTCTCTCGCGTATCATTCCATCCTTGTCCCACACCTAGAATAGAATATTCCTTCATCAAAGGGACTACTAACACACAACAACACAACAAACTAGTCTACTACTGAAAACGAGTTTTCTAAATACTGTACCACTCGACTATAAATGCTCTGAAACTGCCTGAAAAAATATTTAATTATTATGCAAATTACAATTTTCTAATATCTGATAAAGCCTCTCTTGAAACGGCCATAAATCACATTTCAGCTTACTGAAACGAAGACGTAGAAATATTTCAGTCAACCTTCGTAACATTATTAATTAATTATTACTTTTAATAAAACACTGTCTATACACTTCCCTTAGCGTACGACAACGTAACCCGTCAATTATAAAGCGACATAATTATTTATTTCACAGGTAAAACACCAGATCGTTAGCGAAAATTATTTTCTCTAATTTTATATTGAAAATTATTCCTCCAGGTGCGAACGCTAAGTTAAAATTAACTTTGCCTCCGAAGCTTTACAAATTGTATAAAGTCTTCAGGCTTCATTTCAAGTTAATCAATAAAGCTTACCTTATCTTGATATTGGACTCATAGTTGAAACGCTCTTCATATAAAGTACTGCTAGTAAATCTAAAATAGTCTGATTATTTATAGGAAATTATTCAGTCGCTAGTTAAAATGTAATAAATAAAATTTTGTTATATAGAAACTAGTTATGGTTAACTCGAGATGAACTAAATTGAAAAAAGCCAATTATCTAAATGTTAAAAAAATATTAAACAATCATATTATTGTACAGAATGAAAATATTTATATAATAGATATAATTAATATAAATTAGCTTCTGTTTATTAAATAAAAACCAGTTTAATTTATGTATATTATATATTAAACACATACATACACAAACTATTATAAAATTTACCGAATAAGTTTTTAAATATTTATTCATTCCTTTACCTAAGACATTTAATGACTTAAGGGATTCAGGTATTAATAGGTTTAAAGTGCTTCTGAACCGTGATCTCAATTTGAGGGGAGCCTTTGAAAGTCGAGAGGAAAAGCGTTAATTTATTATTTAACTCTATCAGTAGCCTCAATTGTTTTAGCGTAATAGTATTTTGCTTAAATGTTATTAAGATGAGCAAGAGCTTTGTGTATAAACTGTTTATTTTTGATACTAAAATAAATAAACAAAATGGTCTCGAGTATGACGATTGCCAAGACGCAAACATTAATAATTATTATGAAGGAATATATTTTTAAATACGAGTTGACTAATTTCTTGAATATAATGCTTAACGAGAATTATGTAACGTAACATTAGTTAATATATATATATATTTTCACAACCACCGCCTTACTTAACTCGAGGCAGATCATTAAACACATAACTTTAAAACAGTAATGGCAGCCATTTTGAAAACATCGCGCATAAATGTCAGAATTCGAAATTTAACCTAACATGTGTAAATCCTAAAAAATGTTCCCAGCTCTCAAAGGAAACTCCTTTTATAATCTACTAAGAGTTCGTTTCAATTTTACGAACCTCTTTAGTATTCCCCTGAGTAGGTTTTCATGTATGATCATAATAATCTATTTCCGATAGGCCTTCATAGACCATAAAATCGTTTGATTTCTTTCGTTCGCCGCGAGCACAAAGGATATTCTATGATATTTGATCCATTTCTGATCCTCTTGACGTTATTAAATATACGTAATTGGTACTATATTGGTTATTTTTGTAATATTTGAAGCCTCAAATTATACTCCATACATTTTATAGAGCGAAGTTTTTTAAATGTATTAGTAGAACCCTTAAAACTCATAATAAAATATAGATTATTGTTTTGAAATATTACGAGTATAAGTCATGGCTTGGGGAAAAAAAGAAACATGTATAATGTTTTTATTCCTCTCTAATACAAATTAAATAAAAATAAAACTGTTTCGCCGGAAAACGAACCACCGTACGGTGTCTCCTAATCACTATGCCATAGTATATATTATATATCTTCAAAGTAGAATAAAAGAAAATCCTATGCTTAGTTAATTACGAACAAATTTCTGGACACATTTTAGTTTTGAAAAAAATTAAATATATAATATCCAGGACCTTTACAAAATTTTTAGACGTCGGTAAAGTATTAACTCTTTTTGTAAGCTCTGAAACTTGAAGCCTTAATCCTGTATTGGCAAGAATGAGATAGAGATGAGAGATTCGCACAAAAGATACAAGTAATTAGAAATTGTGAGCTTTCTTCTGTCTTTAGCGTTTCTAAAACAATTTAATTACAGATATCAAATGTTAACGTTTACTAAAGAAATAAAAAGTTTAATTGTGAATTGTGCAAAAGCTTGACTCTTTTGTATTATCCTTAGAAATGTGTAGGAATTTGTCAATTGGAATCCCATTTAAATTTTCACTTTTTTATTACAACAACAGACTATGCTTAAATTCACGATTCTCAACCATCAGTGAGCAATCGAGAGCCTAGAAAAAATTCTTAATGTTGAAATGGGTAATACCAGCAGGTTGGACAATTCATTCCACTTGAAAAGATTTTTTAATATTTATTTTTATAACTTTGTACAAAGGTAAATCAACAGAAAATATTCGTTTTAGATAAAATTGCATTGACCGACTTGTTAACAATTTCCGTTTAAAAATGTAAGTGTTTTAATCACAAATATTTAATTTAAGCCCAAGAAGAAAAAGAGTCCCTCTATACAAACGAAATAATTCCACGGCTTCAAAAGCTCTTTATTTCCCAGAGCTTTCATTTTTCACTTAAGTGTTTTGGCTTTTCTGAAACATATCACGACTCGTCCGACACACGATGGGCACTTTCGAACAATGAGCGAGCATTTTCAGAAAATGTTCAGGTTTTAGATGTCTGTTTCTGAACTTTCACCTTTTCTTATGGAGCGTTGCTTTTAAAGTAATTGGTAAAACGATCCTGAAGAGATTTCAACACTTTATGTAATAATTAATTATTGTAATAATCATAGTAATTTACTTTGGACTATTAATTAATTTAAATATATTTCAATAATAAACTCATTGTTATTGTTAGTTTTGTTATAGCATGGACAGCTTACCAACGCAAAATTTTTATTTTAAGCCATTTCAAATGAAATACTCCAATTATTTTCTTAATAAGGTGTTATTTTCATGATTGTTTATTTTCCGTTACAATTTCCTTATGTCTTATGCTACTACATCACAGGCAATTTTTGGACAGGTTTTTATCAATTTTCTTTCAATTATCACTTGCTCGCTCGAACGGCGAATGGAAACGTTTTGATGAAATGAAAACGTCTTAGACCCGAAAATCAACTTATTATAGCTTATTATTATCAATAAAATATCTTAAGCATCTTATGAATTGCATTAAATTGCGTTTCGCCCTAAGTTGTAATAATGGCTTGAACTGGGTATTCAGCGATTTTCCACCGAGCTTTTAGGTCGAGGTCGCAAAAGTGGGTCAGATAGAACCTGTTGCTACAAAACTGTACATTGTTGCCACGGGGACCATGTAGGTTTGAAAGTCTTGTAATAATTTATTTTGTAGTGCAGTCTGAATTGTGCATTATTATTTTATTTAATCATGTGGTACGCGAGTTCTTTCAACATCGTATATTGATTATCGAATACCATTTTTAAAATGTTTTTGAATAAATAAAGAGTTTTATTATACAGCAGTGGCTAACCACGGTGTATAAGCCGAAGGTCTTGGATTTGATTGTAAAACATCTAAAATATGAATAAGCAATAATTTTGAAAAAAACGCCCTTAAATTTCAATTTATATATCAGATAATACTATCCTTATAATTTAAAAACAACATTTCTAAACAGTGCAATATTTATACTAAATAAAAGGAAACATTAATTTTTCATAACCATTTTTTGTTTATTTGAATTTCAAAAGCTTTAGAAAGCTTCTTATAAAGAATTCTGAATATCTATTCATATTATATTGCTTTTAAAGCTTTTTGATAATTCGCCAGAACACGCTCTGTTTAATGTTAAAATACTTTAAAGATTTTATATAAAATAAGTGTTTCTACTATATATTCTTCTAGAATATCTTTAAATAATTAATGCATAGTAAAAGAAGGAAACACTGTCCCTTCTAACCTAAAAGATAACGCCAGATCCATTTTGATCATGGTTGTCAATGTTTTCTCAATTTCAGTTAAGACATATAAATTTAAGTCGAATAAATTTACAGCCATGATGCGGCGTGGTTCAATGGCGATGATCGGTGGCGGTGAACCACTGATCGTAGTAGAGGAGAGTGGGGTTGAAGAGTCTGAGTCTCCTCTCCATCACGCTGCACTGCCAAGTGGCTTCTCGGAGGACCAGGAGTCTCCTCCGGACCCATATCATCTGTCGCCTTGGAGGGAGACCCGCAAGCACTCATTACCAACACCAGCTTGTACAAGTGGACCAACTGCTAGTCAGGTAACTCATGGGTCAACAGGAATTTTTAATTTTATTTAATTACTATGTAGCTGCCCCATGCGACCTTTGTTTTTCCTTAATATTATTTAACTATGCCTATCTTTTTAGTACATACCAACAGCAACATGGCTCACTTTGCTATTCTACCCGAGAGAATGTTTAGTTTTCCGGAATGAAAACTTTTTAGGTTATTCTGTGAAATTCTGTGTTTGGTTAGTCTATTTAAATCTCAGAGTTCAAGTCATAAATTTAATTTATAAATAAAAATAGGTGTTGATCGTAGAGGGGTGAAAATTAAGGGTTGTATGTATTTTTTAATGCCACAAAAAATAAAATTTATCCAAAAAATAAATAATAAATTTTTGGAGTGGACACCCCTTATCACTTAGGAGTTTGAAAAATTGATAGTAGCCGATTCTCAGAATTACTGAATATGCATAAAAAAATTCATAAGAATCGATCGAGCCGTTTCGCGGAGGAGTATAGGAACGAACATTGTGACACGACAATTGTATATATTATATAGAAATTACAAACTCATGATCAAATTATCTTATTTTGTTGATAAACTGTGCAATATATCAGGTACGCCGCCTCTCTGAACGAGGTGAAGGAGCGGCCAAGGAGGCCCGCGAAGCAGCGTTTCTTGCAACTCTCAGCCAGGCTCCACCACAACCTGGAGGTCGAAGGTATTGTATTAATTAATAACATAATAGATTATTTTTCATGTGGTTGATATTTCCATAAAATTAAATGATAATTTGAATTTATAGTCATTGTGAGGTACATTTTTAATGCATTTTTTTTTCAGGCATTCTGTTGTCACCATATCTCGGGTACCGCAGGCGTTGTTCGGGCGTGGACGTAGGGAGTCCATTGCGGCATTTCCGGCTCTCAGTCGTCGGGGATCCATAGCTAAAAAATGTCTGTAACAAATTGCAATTGATTAATAAATAACTTGTTTTTTTTATCGCGTCTAATAATTTATTTTCAACTGCCAACCGATGGTAAAAGGCCACGCTTTGTTCCAGGTCCACCAGCAACAGATACTTTGGGGAGCACTCACAATCTGCAGTTAGACATAATGGATGACATAGTTCAGGCCCGCAAAGTACGCATGCGCCTGTGGAATACATCCAGCGAGAAGGTTTGTGAGGTTCAGCCTTTAGACGAGCGCTCTCCAATAAGCGGTTCTATCCGATACACAAATAGAGGCCGCCGGCACTCTGACTTCATTGGTTCTCCTTTACCTCCCATACCAGCACGTCGAAGAGCTTCAGAAATGCCACCACCGCCTCCCATTCCACCGCGAAGCACCACAGGAGTTATCTGTACTGACACAGATCTAAAACACATGCTTAACGCTCTTACATCATCAGCTACCGAAATCGATCGATGTGGAAAGCCAGAGCGAACTCGTCAACTTTGCGATATGCGCTCCAGCAGTTTCGACGCTTCCTCTTTGAGAGAGAAATTCTCAGATTCCGGCACTACGTGGTTCACTCGCAGGCATCAGACATTGGCGACAAAGAAAAAAGAAAACGAAGAAAAAAAGCTGAAAGTTACATTTGCACCAGATTCAAAACAAGCTCCTGGTGACGCAGCAGCAGTCGTATGGGACAAGCCGTCTGGTTCTGTGGTTGATGCAAGTGCCCTGGGGAGCGCTATAGAAGTGTTTCTAAGAAGAAGCAGCGGAGCTCCCCCTGTTCCACCAACGTCTACGATAATCAAGGAGACAAAGAGTAAAGCCGCTGATCGTTCCAAGGTACGGGATGCTCCAAGCACGAGCAAGGAGGGCGAACATTGGTTTATAAGCAAGCCTGAAGATGACGACGGTGCTGGAGGATGTGAAGCGTCAATATGCTCATCTCTCAAAGATCTTTTCGTATAAACGTGCGATCCTTTAATTCATAGTTAAATGTTTGTTTCCTGTTCGGGAAATTGTGCGCGTGTAAAATCTTGACACGTCTTGTACCTTACTTCATGGTTAAATAAGATAGTGTTACTCATTCCCGGGAGCTGGTTCAGCTCGATCTTGGCTGTGGTTGTGACGTCTGTATTCCTTGGGAATGTGGGACATATTTTATTAAGCCGTGCTTACTTTATGAATCTCTGAATGTGATAGATGCGCGCCGGCGTCGGTCGTGCCAAGTCGACTCACGACTGACCCTGGCTCTGCGGTAAATATTTTTAGAGTAAATTCTATTTTCATTGTAAAAATATTAGTGACTTAATGTTTAGATAGAGGAATGTAAGTTATTCGGCGCGTGTTTTCCTTGACAGTTCCCTGAATTGTCGCCCGCGCGCCTTTCCCTTCCCGCCTTGTCTCCTTCAAAAGTCTGTGTATTGTAACCTGATGTTAAAAATAACGTACGATTTAATGTACGAGTATTATCGTATAGCAAATAATATTGTAAAGAGGAACGCCAGGAGAAATGTACGCTTAAATGAAGGTGTCCTCCGGGCGCCTTTTATCAATAAAATTTTTATCGATGTTGAATGTGTTTTTATTTCATCAAAACTCTTGAATCCGATTATTGTCAGGCTATGTTTGATATGTTATAGAAACCTCCACACGGTGCCATCGCCTAAGGTAATAGCAAGTAAATAGTAGACGCAAAAAAATCAATTAGAACATATAATACACTTAATATAACTTATGTTTTTCAAAATATAGTATCGGATTAACTAACACCAATTGAATAGTACCTTATAATAGTCTGTTTCTTTTCATTCATTAAAATTATTTTAATACATTATATAAGAAAAGATTATTTACAAAATAAATGGATATTGATTCCAAACAGAAAATGTGTTCCCTTTCGTTAAATGTCAGCGAAGGATGTAAATGTCACAGGTTATACAATATTTACACTTCACTTGTCAATTTAAAAGGTAGAAAAGGTTGTTCCTTTTTTGAAAATCTGCTTTATACATTAATAGTACTGTAATCAAATATTAAATTGACAACTCACACTTTTATTCAAACTATATTGACCATTAATAAAAATCTATCGCAATCCTGGCTAGTTAATTATATTGATAAATTTACCCAATATACATTAATATAGAAGATGTATTCATTTAATTGTCGCATACCATCCACGCCCATAATGAAGGTTTCATATTAAATTAAGTGTATGGCAATCATTAGATGTTAATCAAATAATATAATGTCAAGTTCCTTGACTTCCGCTGTTCCACAATTGAGCGTTTTTAAAGGCATTTTTTGCCTCGGACCACCACTATGTGGAACCAGCTGCCCACTGAAGTATTTCCGAACCAATTCGACTTAGGGTCCTTAACAAAAAATTCTGGTATTTTCATTGCATTTTTTATTTAATCTTGTATATATTTTTTATTGTAATTTAGATATTTTCAACATTTCTGTTTACCTAGATTGTTATAGAGTTTGTAACATATACCGTAGATACTTAAGTATGATGTGGTAAACTTGAATCAATAAATAAATAAGTAAAAACAGTACCAATACTTAAAAGGTTGGCAACGCAATCGCGTGCCCTCTGGCATTGAGACTGTCCATGGACGGCCGCGGCGGGGCGCTATCACTTAAGATCAGATGAGCCTCTAATTTTTTTTTCACATTACTACGATTAATTTGATTTTGAATAAGAAAATTTGTAAAATTTATTTAAATTAAACTGTATGATAGCTATTTATTAAGTTGAACCGCAGTTAAACTCTTCTATAAGTTATTTGTAAACAAATCCTCAACGACACGTAAATTTCATGTACCCTTCGTATTTCCCAGTACTTTCAATCTGGCCCACGGCTCCTAAAATTCGATTACGTCTCCGCTCTGCTGAGATGAACCAATTAATATATTACATTCGCTCTACGTGACGGAGATAATCTGACCCATATATTACATAGCATTGTCTAGTTTACGTGACTTGCCATTATTATTGACGTCCGTAACTTCGTCTATTTATTAGAGGCGTATATTTTTCGTGAGAGTTTACGGCAATTTTTGACTCACTATTTCGTGGCGTTACCAATAAAAGTATCTTTGAACTGTGGGCTTTTCAAAATAAATTAGAAGAAATACAATATAAAAAATCGTTATTCGTTATATCGTTAATTAAGTTTCGTATAATTAAGGAAATCGTTAAAAAAGTTATAACTGACTGTAGCGTGTAGTAGCGTGCGAATCCCTGTCGTAGGTTCGATCCCCGGCTGTGCTCCAATGGACTTTCTTTCTATATGCGCATTTAACATTCGCTCGAACTGTGAAGGAAAACATCGTGAGGAAACCGGCTTGCCTTAGGGTGCGTACAGACTATGTAACATATTATATAACTTGTGTTTTATAACACGTCCACATTATGTAACCTTGTTATTCAACATTATAACATAAAACAATACTGTACACATTAGAATAACAATGCAATATAATAATGTTATATAACCATTTTAAATAACAAAAAAACGTAGATGCTGCTGCATATCAATAACATGTTATTATAACATGTTTTATAACATTCAGTGTCCACATTATCTGAAACATGTTGTATAGCAATGTTGTATAACATGTTATGTTATACAATGTTGTATAACATGTTATGTTATACAACATATATAGTCTGTACGCACCGTTAGACCGAAAATGTCAACGGCGTGCGTCAGGCACAGAAGGCTGATCACCTACTTGCCTACAAATGAACATGAAATAGATGCAGAAATCTGAAACCTAAAAAAGGTTGTAGCGCTACTGATTTATTTGATATTTATAATTAAGGAAATAAAGTGATCCTGCTGTGCTTACCTGACACTTTTATTTCGTTGGGATTCCATCGCCCGGCTATTCTAAAACCACTAAGCCTCGGAATGGGATTTTTATTTACATGTTTATAATTATATCTTAAACTTAATTTAAAAAAAATGTTGTCATTTTATCTAATAAAACTTCTGTTTCTTGCCTTCTGTTATACTAATTTTTTACTAGTGTAATACACAATTAAGTTATAAGGTAGCTCAATATATTATTGTATTTTCTAAGTTTATTTTCTTATGTAAGTGAATGTTGTAATATTCTAAATGAAAATGAAAAATCTGCAACCTTAAAAAAATGGTATACGCAATTACAATTATTTAAATTTACTGGCAGAATTATGTAAAACATAACTTTGATTATTATACTCATAGTTTCGGTCCCAATAACCCTAACTAATAATACCTCTGTGCGTAATTACGGTAGGATTATAGTCTCATATTTAGATCAAGCTGAAACTTGCAATGGAAACTCAGACAAGTTCATTAAAATGTTACAGTTGCTATTTCAAATCACAAGTACGGGCGTATAAATAAAGAAAAATGTATTAAATGTGTCTGTTTGACCTGATTGTGTGGAAACTCAGCTACTTCGTAAGTATACCAAACGATATTATACAGAGATATATTATATACAAACCCCTTATAGTTTTAAAAGCATAGTAAATAGTAATGTATAGACCGGAACTGAGCTATGAAGTAGTGCTTGCCGATTTGATTTACCCGAAAGCAAGGCTGGGGTAATTTAAACAATATATATTTCCTAGAAACCATGTGTGTACGAGCTAAAGTCTTTATAGCGGATAAAAAATTAGCTAATTTGTTGTTGTAAGATAAATGTTACTGTGATCCGCGGTCATCATGTGATGCTTCCCAAAATAGTTCCTGGTATTAACTTAACAAACTTTATAGCTTTATAAGAATAAAAATTCAGAGTAAGTAAGTACATGAAAATCTTTCATTTATGTATATGGATGTGGATAAATATTTATTTTATTTGATATGTCAAAATACCAAACGAAAGCAGTCAAGTACTACAACATTTATTTCATTGATTGAAAAGAAGAATACAGAAATTCATGTGACGATAGAACTCAAATTGGACACAAATCACAATGTCTCCGTCCACATTATTTACAATACTATATAGTAATATTATTATACTAAAAGCTAAATTAACTACTAAAATTAATTACAAAAAATTCAAACAAGGCATGATGATATAATTGATTACAATCATAACCCGTTAGGCACAAAGTTCGACTGTAGAATAGACCTGTTATTGCCCGTGCCAAATGTCGTGTGTATTTACAAGTAGGTAGGTAAATATAAATTAAAAGAAGAAACAAATATAAATACTTTTACAGTTTGATCGGTGTACTTGTTTTCAAGATTATTTGATATTATTGTTATTTAATTTTTCATTACAACAATATACTTGAAATACACATATTAAAACAGCAAGTATCAATATACAATATATAATTAAAAAAAGGAAAAAAATACAATTAGTATGGATAGAGGATTATATTCAAATGAATGCTTGGAAACATGCTGGTCCTGCTCCATAGGACAATCATAGAGCCTGAACAAAATCAAATTGGTTGCTGATTTTTTGCTATAACATATTTTTGTTATTTTTTTTTAATTTATAATACTACAAAATGTAATTTAAAAGAGTAAGTAAACCTATTTTAAAAGAGTAAGTTTGGAGTTTCATGCCCATTCTTCACACGAAACTACCTTTTGGCTTTTGGAAGGGGCAACTTGAATCTTCTTTATATTTTATTTGACGTTCAAAGGTGCCATTTTAGGTGGTCTAATTGAAATAAATGATTTGACTTTTTGACTTTTGATCTATAGGGATAAAGAAATCCACTTTAATACCGCCTCCTTAATAATTTATTCCCCATTACGTATGCCCACTTACAAAGCATGTAAACATCACTTGTTTGTAAAGTACTTTTGCAATCCGTTTAACAGGACCTGTTAAACGAAACTATTCCCGAATAAACCTGGTTTATTCGGGAAATCACATGTCGGTAAACACGATTTGCTGGACTTGTTTGTATTTCTTGTTCATTTCATCTACGTTTAGAATCACTAAAACTATAATTTGTTTAATTTCATATAACAAACTCCATTATTATATGTATGTGATGTATTATTTATTTATAAGTTGTAAAACAACGTGTATAAAATTATACAAGAAAATATGACATCACAAATTTTACACACATCAATTATATTAGAACATATAGAAAAAAATAAGCAACCACCAAACAAAAAATAAAACTAAATAAAAACTTACACCTCATCAAACCCATGCTGTTCCAATAAGCATGGGTTTAATCAAACTATAAATTTAATTGTACCTATATGACACGTTCAAATATTTTAATTAATAAATTAAAGTTTCTATAAAAAGACTAATTTGTTATGCACTATATCGAGTTAGTATAGACCCTATATGGGTAATGGTCTCCATAACGTTCCATTTGGATCTGGATTTCTTTTTTACAGATCCGATAGATATGCTTCTTGCGTGCTATGTCCATACTAAAAACATTAATAAAAGTACCTAAGCTAGACTGAATATTTTATAGTAAAACGAACACCTATTTGATTGTAATTATGTACAATGTACATATAATGTACATGACGAGAGATAGCAGGTTGAAATGGACAAAAAGTAATACAGAATGGCAACCACGAGATATAAAAAGGAAAAGAGAAAGACAGAGCAATGGGCAGACGATACAAAGAGAATAGGAGACACAACTTGGACAGGAAGATCTTACATTAGAAAAGAATGGAAGCAGCTGGAAGAGGCCTGTGTGTGACACATAGGCCTCTTCATAGGCTGAAAGGCTGATCACCTAAACCGGCACATCTGATGTGTTAAATTAAGTTAGGTTATATAACTAAAACAAATGTTTATATATATATTATACTGGGCGTCAGCAATAAAGGCTTAATAATAAAACAATGAGTATAAAATGTTGCTAAAATAAATATTAATCTTGAGATCCAGTGACAAAACTTTTTAAATTTTAGTTTAATTTAGTATGGTAGTCGATATTATATAGTATAAAATAAATATTTCGATTTTTGTAAGATCTGATGCATTTAGTTCATTATTATTGTTAGGACGTAAAAAATCTTAGATGGTGTTCACTGTTCAAGTGAACAAATAAAAGACATAATTGATGATAAAAGTAGGTCTATGTAACTAATAAAGCTGGGGAAGAAAATAAATTTAAAAAATGGACACAGTTGCGATATAAAAGTCTTGTCTTGTATTTTATCGTTTAAAATTTACCCAAGCAACGGCGTAATAAAGCAAAAAGAAAATCGTAATTTAATAACCTTATATCGAGTTTAAGAACAGTTTTCAATAAGCCCGGAAAACATCGCGTCTGTGACACGATCAAAGTTTTAATTTTCTTAAGAATTCGGAGAAGTTGAAATTGTTTTCATTCAAGGGGTGGAGTCTGGGAGGTGCCTGAGTACCTGTTGCTCCCGAATCAATACGGATGCTGCACGGGAAGCTGCGCAAAGGATTAGCCAGTCATGCGCTCTCTGCTGCTGCTGGCGTTGTCAATTTTCACACCAGGTACGTCAAAACAAATCTATTAAACAAAATTCGTCTATTTTCTCACAACATGCGTGTATTTAATCGAGTTTTAAATATAGAATCTCTATGGTAATTGAATTTCAGTATTTTCCACATGCGCCATAGACAATACGACTTCTCTTTGTTCTGGAAGGTATATGTCAAATAATACGATTTTTTAGATTATAAGTATGTATTAATTAAACCTTAATCGATGTATGATAAATGATTTTCATTGCTAAATACTTAATTCTTATGCCTACGTAAAAATCATTTAATTCGTACATAAATACCATTTTGTTCTTTTAACCTACAAGTCAGATGATAATGAATAATCCTTATTATTTCAAATTCTAGGATCGTGTGACCTCCTTCGGGACAGTGTCCATGTGACGTCAGCAGCAGCCAGACCTAATAATGAGCTTTGGTGCTACAAATGTCATGCAGATGTTCCAGATGACAAATGCGCTGACCTTCGGCATAACAACTCCGCCCTGATACACAAGTGTAATAATGATAGGCGGGTCTGTATGGTAAGTTTACTTATTTTTTTGTAAATCTAGAACGATATACAATAATAAAAACTAAGTATGTGTTAACAAAACTAACACATTTAAGTTTTTGTGTATAGTATGGAATAATAATAATATGTATAAATGGCTCAATATATCTAAACTATTGCAGTACGAACCTATCATACTAAATTATATTTTACATTCACTAAAATTTATTCATTGATATCATATACCTATTATAAATCATAAATGAATGCACTGAAGCAGATTTTAAACTGCGACCCGTGGCAAAAAAATCCCAACATTTTTCTATTCTATTAATCGAAAAAAAAATTACAAAACATTGTTTCAGGTGAAACGCTTCTCCTACACGACGTCAACGGAAAACTCCACTACGGGTCTGAAAATGTGGGCACTAGAACGAAATTGTACGAAGCACTGTGAACCGGGTTGTATAGTTATTGGGGAACGCACGAAATTGTATGCCTGCACATCTTGCTGCACAACTTCACTCTGTAACTATGGTTCTGGAGGTATCTCCCATCTTCTACACGGCACTTTATTGTTACTATCTCTTATGACTTTAACAAATATCATTTTAGTTAGATAAATATAGTTATATCAATTATATAGCTTTTTATTTAAACTCGTAAACGATTGCAATACCTAATGAATGGTTGTAACTTGTAGCGCCTTTAGATATAGGTTAACGTTACTAGAATCGTTAATCTTGTTGGTTTGACTTTGGATTTGTTTTTAGATTTTGACAGGCGCTCAATTTCTTTTTGAACCACAGTTAATATTGCCTTGTTATTACCACAAGCTGATAAGCGATTACTGTAGGGATGTGGTTGATAAAATGTCTGATAATACTATAAGATAACATTAATGTAATAAATGATGAAGAATTATTCAATTGACAAAAGGTTAATTGATAAAAATGTCATGAGATTGTTTAAATTTAAAAAGAAACTGTCAGTCAACTGTCTAGTCTTAACTGTCAAATCTATAGTTTTTTTACGTTTAGACTCGGCTATCGTACATTGTAGCAACGTAGCGACACTATAATAAGATGTTTTTGTTCGACTATAGATACATCAGTAAAACAATTACGTTAAAATTTAAATATCCTGGTCACCTTTAGCTGCATATACTATGATAACGTATTATCAACATTATCATAAGCGTCCACCTTTCCGTTTACTACATTCTAGACGTACGTTTATGAAGGTATATTCATGATTTAGTAATCACGTCATTTGCCGATGGCCTTCTATTTAATTGAATACTGCCTTCACACGCGACTCGTGTTGACTTTTTGCTGTAGATTGTGTCCATATATACTACACTTCGTGAATAAAACAAATATTGGAATTGTATGTTTCGTATTTTAAAGTAACTCAGACATTTGTAACACACACATGAACAATTCCTGAAATATTAATTATGAATTACATCCGCTAATGTCAGATTAGAAATACAGTGCAAACTCCAAGTAACGTCTCGCGATAACGACCAACTCCCTAAAGCGTCGAAATCAATAATTGACTTTGGTTGGATTAGCTTGCCTTCCATACGATGATGATGCCTTCCTACATTACGTTCACTCTCAATAACGACAACAATTGATTAATAAAGTACTTTTTAAGTTCCTAAAATTAGTTAAAACTGCGCAGCTGTGTACGTTCTTTTGTCGCTTTATTATCCAAGCCCGCAATAAACTCGACCGTCGCGTCGGCATCAAGAATACGAACTTTCTAAAAAAAAAATCGTTCTTTTGTGTACAAATTGGGAAAGCTTGCATGTGTAGACTGTTGTTGACCATGACTAATAAGTAGGAGCGATGGATTCTATACGTTATCATATACTGAGTAGTTCACCAATTTTTAAACTGTAAACATGGCTAGTAATAGAAAATCGCTGTATTGATGAAGTTTTACTGATACGTGCAATTGAAACTGGAGAGAAGATAAGTGACGTCGGCAAACGCTTTTTCTATTCTCCATTTAACGACAACTCTCTATAAAGCGATAAAATGCAAGTCCCTTCGTGACCGTCAGGTTGGCTGACCAAATTTGATATCGCAATCAAATTATGCTATATATATATTAATAATAATTTTTTTATAGGCTTCTGAGACTTATTTTAAAGTTTTTTTCCTCAGGTAGAAAATAGGTAATAAATATACATATATAAAAACGCTCACTCAAAGATTCTTAGAACACAATTAAATGATAGTGGTCAGCCAACCTGACGTCAGAATGGCTGGCCACTTTATTTCTTAATTATGTTCGTTAAAGCAGAGGTAGCAAAGAGTATCAAATAGGTAGAGAAATGTGGCGTATAGTTTGATTGCGATATCAAATTTGGTCAGCCAAACTGACGGTCATGTCCCTTCAGTGTCGTTATATGGACTTAACACAGTATATTATTATTTTTTTTAGCTAGGTTAAATTTGCTTCAGTTCTTTACTTATAGTACCACTTGAAGATTCGTAGTAGCATTTTAAATGTAATAATACAATACTGTATGTTAGGATAATAATAATAAAAACAAGTTATAAGTTAATTAATTTATTATGAATAAACAATGCACAGAAGTAAATGCAATTTGTAATTTGCGACCTAGTTATAAAAATTTATAACACAACTGGAATGAACCACAGCAACTTTATAGATATTATTTACTGGGAAGGTAATATAGGAGGACTCCATGTTAAACTTAAAGTATTGTTAATACATTAACTTAAGACAGTTGACCACAGTCAGAGATGATAACTTTCTTGGATGGCTTGCCAGATTGAGAGCCGAAGGACTCAACCTTCTTGACAACATCCATGCCTTCTACCACATTTCCAAATACGACGTGCCTGCCGTCCAACCATGAGGTCTTAACAGTGGTGACGAAGAATTGGGAGCCGTTGGTGTTGGGTCCAGCGTTGGCCATAGAGAGGACACCAGGTCCGGTGTGCTTCAGGACAAAGTTCTCGTCAGCAAACTTCTCACCGTAGATGGACTTGCCACCAGTGCCATTGTGGTTTGTGAAGTCACCTGCTTGAAGCATGAAGTTGGGGATGACACGGTGGAAGGTGGAGCCCTTGTATCCAAAGCCTTTCTCACCAGTACATAGAGCTCTGAAGTTCTCACATGTCTTGGGCGTGACATCAGCTTTCAACTGAAAAATTTATGTCCAGTTATAACATCTTGTATTTAAAATATGTTATCTGTTTGTAATAAAATCCTTAAAACTTCATCATGGATAATACATAATTCTCACCATTTACAGCAAAAAAATAGATAAAGACTATTGCTGTTAGTACTGAATCTCAAAACTGAAATCATGCAATTAAAATTTGCATTCAATAAGTATGACATCATTCAATTAAAAATAAAACTTGTTGATGTACTTTATTCCAGGTATATAAAATATACAGATTCTATAATAACAAAGGCCGTTCAACGTATGCAACGGTAACTGTTACACGATCGCGATAAATTCTATTAAATAAAACCCTATAAAGGACCTGACCTTCAGAAAATAATCACGGTCACATATTTAATTATGACTATTTATCAGATATAAATAACTATATAAAATAGGTAATTTGTCAGGGACCGTATTATTAGACTATATAATAGAGACTAAGAAATTCAATACTATTTACACCTTAAATAGTAAGCATGTCTACGTATAGGCTATAGCGTGGTCGAGGAATCACGCCGGCCGAAATGTCACCTCCTTAAGTAGCAGCCTGCCATAAAATATATAAATTAGAACATACCTCAACAACAATCCTTCCTAATGGCTGACCATCAGCGGCCACATCCAGAAAGACTCGTGGTGAAGCCATTTCTTAACTTTGTTCGGTTCCCAAAATCACTTCTTTTTAATCACGGCTCAATGACGATGCGTCTCTCGTCGATGCCGGGCGGAAATAAAAAGTAATCATAGACAAATTAACCGTGTTAATTTCCGATTTTCGTTCAGAAACTTTACATATAACAGGCGTTATCTATGGCTGCACAACAATGTACCAACCGCAACCAAAAAAAAATTGGATATATAGTTTTTATACAAATTACTACTTAAAATTATTTTTTACCTATTTTTTGAAGTGAAACTTCTTGTTAAGCACAAGAAGGCGCATGAGGGTAATTTTTTTACGGATGAAACACAATAATAATAATATTAGTGTTAATATAGACATATATAGATATAATTTTAAGTACATGATCATCGTTTACCTTAGTAATAATTAATTTATTAATTTATTTTTACAAAGAAGTTTCACTTCTGACGTGTGTACTTTGTACGCACGCACTTTTTTTTTTTTACATTTTTGCTAAATTAAAGCTTACTTATAATTTCAAGGTTGTTTCAACCAAGGTTTAACATATGAATAGAAAATAATATTTAAAACAAGTAACCAATCGCCAACGAATACTACCGCAAAGTGAAAAAATAATAATGTTTCATTTTCATTTCAACTATATTTTAAATAATAACAGGACGACGACGTTCCGCAAAAACAATCTTCGCATATGCTATAGTTAAAAACATTAAAATATTATAGTAAATAAGTAAAAGGTAAATGAGAATTTTTTTACCCATTTGCGCAATTTTTTTTTGTTGTCACCACATTGCTTCATAGTGGTCCAAACCAATATAAAAACTGTAAATATAATCTTTTAAGATGTTATCATATAATAACAACAAGACAAAGGATGAGTGAAGCCTAAAATTTATATTCTGTAAGATAAATTAAAATTCATCGTAAACGTAATTCGCATGTTGCGTTCTGAATGATCCAGTAAAACGAGCCATCGGTATTTAAAACTGTAAAGGGTCCATATTATGTAACTTAGTTGAAGCAACATTAAACATGATATTTTTACTAGTCTGTGGCTTGCTCGATTATACTCTCTACAAAATAATAATTTAGTTATCTTACCTAAATGTCAACAATTGACAACATTTAAAATATGACATTTAATTAATTGACAATATCCCACGCCTGTAGCCATTCGATTTCGACAATCGACAATGCTAGCGGGAAATTAAAAGATGATTGTTTCCTGTGTAATAAGATTTATATTTTATTACTTTAGTTTTGTTTTGTTCATATAGTCTTTAGTATGTATTTATATAATACATACTCCGGAGTTTTCTTTTAAGATTTAGAATAAATGAAAAAAGCTTCGTTTTGATTTGATTTAGTATTTAATTGAAATACGTCCCGGTATTTCACATTCTTGTGATTAATAAAGTCGCCTACGTAGTACTTTGTTAAAATGAGTCTCGAATCTATTAAATACCAACGTGGGAATCTTGAGGTATTAGATCAATTACTTCTTCCATTTCAAAAACAATATATTAAAGTGGAAGGAGTGGAAGATGGATGGAAAGTTATCAACAAAATGCAGGTATTTGAAATACTTTACATAATATGATATACATTAGTATAACTTATGACAGGTTATATGTTTTATATCCCAATTATAAAGTTTCAACTGTTGCCGAATTTTATCCTTGTTAGTACTTGAATTCTTAGTTTAAATATGATAAAGAGTTACCTAATAGTTTCTACATTGCAAATTTATATATGTATATATATATATATATATATAAACAAGTAATATAACCTTATTAGTTAGCTAGTACTCTTCAAGCATATATATGGCAGAAATCTATTTGAACCGACAAAAAAATATTTTTAAACTTGTTGTTTCTTAGCTTATGCACTACAACAAACATTAATTATGAGATCTTTTCATATAGAATTAATATGTAAAACTATTTTTTCTTTCATAGGTGCGTGGTGCCCCCGCCATAGCTATATTAGGGTGTTTATCACTTGCTATAGAACTATTAAAAGATAACAGTTCAGACAAGAAAGTGATGAGGCAAGAGGTCAGTGTTATCATACTAATATTTTAATCAGACACCGAGAGTCAAGACATCCTTTCCTAGTAACTTAAAATAGTAGTGACTTAAAAACTTTTTGGGTAAATGTATATCAGCACACACTTACAAAGGTTACAAAGGGATAAATAAATAAAGTTATAATAAGCAACATTATAACTATATTTATGCCTTTTAAACCATTCAAATCAACTTCAAGTTATTAGGTACTATATATATATATATATTATATAGGTTTATCAAATACATTATTTGATCCACTCTGAGGCAGATGACTAACATGCCTAAAACAATAATGATGATGGAATTAATGAAATTAAAATGACAAAATTTGGGATTTTTGTTTCACATATTATCAGCTTCATAAAGATGTGATAAAATTATCTAATATTAAAGTATCCTTGTTTACTCGATTGGCTCAATTGTTATCACTCATACCCCACATTGATGTCACTTTGTAAACATCATACTAACATGCTCCATGAATGATAAACTGATAAGTGACCTAATACTTATTAAATATCTTTATATAATTCAATAGATTTTTTAGATTTCATATTAATTTTACATGTTTACCATATTGTTTACACTAAGATAAAACATCATATACAATTTAAACACCCCTCAACAGGGTTGTTGTAACATATTGACACCACTTATAAATTTAAAAAGAAAAACTTTTGTCTTACATCTTATAATGGCTTTGATTCAACAATATTTCATGACTAATAAATGCCTGCAACTGTGACTTCCTAGAAATAGTTTTGAAGATAGGAACTAGTGTTAGTGGGAATTAAAATGCTCATTGCTTATTGACTATTAGCTTGTTAAGAATATGTTTATATAAAATCAAGACAATATTTGCAGGTTATTAATATGCATTTCAGATAGAAGGGAAACTCAATTACTTGGTGTCGGCGCGACCGACAGCTGTGAACATAAAATTGGCTGCCGATGAGCTTATTAATTTAGCCAATACACTGAGCGCCGATGAATCCATTAACCCAGACGAATTTAAAGAGAGGTAAATATATTTCTGATGCGCTTAGTAAGGAATAGGAATTTATTATTAAAATATTAATGACGTGTGTAGATCCAGTTGAGACCTAAACGGAAATGTTGACTTTAAACGGTAGTTAGCTTGTTTATTAGTAACCTGCCTTTTATAGAAAATTTGTTGTTTACAAGTGGAATATACATTTCGTAAAGGGAGGAAGCTTATACATATTTTTAATCTCCATACAATCGAAACTATGTAACTAATTCTTATTGGTTTCTTCATACAGATAAGGTTCAACTGGAAAGATGGGTTTTTTTCATTGTTAATTTATTTAATGGAGCTTCATAGTACTCATATATTTGAAGAATAGAAAAATAAAATCCTAAAATAATAGTAATAATTATACTTTGGGATGTTTGTGTAAAATTATTATTTATTAAAGCATGATGTGCTCATGTAATAGTTAATCCAGATGTAATTAAAATAATCGTATTTAATAATGGAATTTGGAAAGGGTTAAATGGGGTAGACTGAATTGTTGTTAGGTAAACTGTCAATTAAAATATATATTCACGCAGACACGGACTCGCGTTGAAAGGGTTTCAAAGAAAACCTTTACTATGTAGCATACATAATTTTGCTTAAATAGTTAAATTATTGGTAGCCAATAAATAGCAAAGTATAGACTGAAAAATTGATTTTTAATCTGTTACAACATAAATAATTGCATGCAATAACGATATGATTTTAATCATAATTTACAACTATGAATTTAACATATCTATCATGAATAAATATAGATATGCAAGATTTATGTTTTGATAAATTACGCGTGTTAAGATAATGATCGTTGTGTATATTTTCAGCCTTCTCGGCTTTTAACTCGCGAGATTGAATTATGTACTTATGTGTTACGAGTAATTAAATAAATATGTAAATAGTGTATCGCCTGTTTCTACCTAGTCCAGCCATAAGTTCTGTTACAAATGAAACTGCATTTAAAAAAAATTAAGTATTATTATTAAAATTTATACCTACATATTTATTAGTCTCAACAAAAAATATAAAAAACATCTCTTTGAAATGGCAACCTTTGGCCAGCCCTTAATCTGTTTGTACACCAAGTTTCCAAGGGAAATTTCGCCACTGCTTGCTCGAAAGATTCTTTAAGAGACTCAAAGTCGCCGTGTTTTTTAGAGTAGGCTATGTCCTCTAAAACTGACCACAATTTGAACTCTAAAGGGTTGAGGTTTGGGCTAGATGAGGGCCAGTCTTCAGCTCTTATAAAGTCCGAAACGTTGGTTCAAGCCAGGCTTGGGTAGTTCGTGCCTTGTGACCAGGTGCAGAAGCCTACTGGAAAGTCCACGGTATATTTTTGAAAAGTGTATTGCTGAGAGGTTTCACAACATGATCGAAGACTGTATCTTGATTCACTTTGGCTGAAGTTTTCACTCCTTTTTCACAAAAATTTGGTTTTTTGACTACTTGATAAGACCCGCCCCACCAAACCAACATTTATGCAGGATGATGACCACGTTGACGATGACGTTAAGCACCGAGCTTCAGGTCTGTTTTATAATACGCGAGAGAGTCCTAGCGGAAATCTTCATTTCTCGCGATAAGATTTTTTGCTTCCTAATGGGGTTTTGAAGAATTCTGGCTTTAACAGCATTAACAGCACGCGGCCGCCCCGATTTTATCTGATCTTCGACAGACGAAGTGTTGTTGTATCTGTTTATAGTAAGATATACGAACATACGGCTTATTTCTTTAACACCCCATTCCATATTGTGATTTGATAATGAACACGAAAAAATATGTGAAATGGCGCAAAATCAAAAAAACAACCACAGTACACACACATTGCACACTGGAAGCGAACCGAATGGCAAAAGGGAATTTTTTAATTTTTATTGTTTTTGATGTCTTATTTTATTTTTTTCTTTAAGTATTGTTATTTTGTGTGTTTATGTGTGTGTGTATTTTCGTTTGTAATAAATGTTATGTCTATGTTTAAATCGATTTTTTTTTTAAATAATATAGATACGTGTTCCAAATCCAAAATAATTAAAAAGTTGACGTAATAATTAAAAAGATGTAACAGTATTTATGGCCAGACTAGTTATTTTTAATTTTCTTTTTTTACGCTTAAAAATATATTTAGTTAATCTGGTTTTAATACCGAAGTATGTATAAATATTAAGTTGGAATTGGAGTATTTATATATTATATCTAAACAAAACTGAAAAAATACTGTCACAATGTATCTTTTTCTTTAATTCATATGAATTTTTAATTTATATAATAAATAACAAAGCATTTTGTTCCAAACCAAATTCAATATGGAATAATCTTGGTTTTTAAGGTACAAATATCTAATTTAAACTATATATTAATATCCTAAACTTATGCAATCTTTACAGATTCATCACAAGCATCGAAGGAATGCTATCAAAAGACATAGAAGATAATAAGGCTATAGGCCGAAATGGTTGTGAAGCTATACTAAAGAATTTGGAGGGAGATGGGCACGTTAGGGTTCTCACACATTGCAACACTGGCTCACTTGCCACCGCCGAGTATGGTACCGCTTTAGGTGTTATTAGATCCCTACACGCTGCCAAAAGATTGGGTAAGTTTTTATTAGCTTACAAAATTTCCAAGAATACCTATTTAATTTGATTGTTGAGTGCGACGCCAGCGTTTTAGAAATTTCTTGTATTTTTGAATTATCGAGAAAAGTTATTTGGTTTTCATTTTTTTGAAGTGAAAACTTCTTTAGCGGCATTGTACACTTTTTTTGGAATGGGTCAAAAATTTTAAACTTGCGTCAGGACACGTGACCTGATCGAAAATTCGTAAGACGAATGGAGAGTAGACAACTGTCGCGGTGTATTTAATGTATAAATTGTCATGTTTGTGTACGATAGCGCAATAAATAAATATTGTATATCACATAAATGATAGTACTTTTATACTGATATAAAGCAATTCGTGCAAAATTATTCCCTAACCATTCCAAAATATCAAAAATGCACAACGTTAATATTCTTGTTTCGCTTCTGCCGGCAAACCCGTCGTATTTTTAATTATAAATTAGACGTACGCGTGAATCTTTTCGAAGTTACACACGGGCAAATCTCCCTTAGTCTCGACTATAATTTTATGCCTTGGTTTGGCGAGTTGTTCCATATCGAGCCGATTTTCCATTAGTATTAGTCATATTTAATTTATTTGGCACAAGGTTAAGTAACGCTGCATTTCTGTTTGTTTTGATTCACAAAATAAATAACAGACTGTTATCCAGCTGATACAGATATTATTATGGTATTTCCCATGACGTATAAGATAATAATTATTAGATATAATTATTTTAATAATTTTATTTTAAAACTTCAAAGACGTGTCAAGGTTCGTTCTAACTGATCCTTTCGAATAAACTTTTGACAGAAAGAGAACTGAACTAAACTTTTTGGACTGCATTTTCAATTTTTTTTTAATTTCATTATAGTAATTTATTGGAGCAGTTTCCAAATAACTAACTGTAGATAATTGTAGTCTTTAAATATACAATTTCATGTGGTGTATGTTAACGAAGTGTGCTTTAATTAATTGATTATGACATCTTAAAGCAATATTCAGATAAATTTTGTGTTTGATAAATGGTCACAAGTGTTCTGCAGCTGTTTGATTTGTTGTAGTGGAGCCAATGACATCGTTTGTATTAAACAAATTTCTTATTACTTCGACAAGAAGTTGATTTTGAACATATAAATGTCTTCAAGGAAAATTATCATAGTAAACAGGTTTTTTTTCAAATATCATCGACAAATTTAATACTGGAGGAAATGTTTTAATAATACCCAACAGCTTTCTATTAGTTTCATTTTTAAATTATAATTCTGGGGTAATATAGCATACTATTGAGATCTAAAAATTCATTGACACAGACTAATTAACATAATGAAAATCAATTGTAATCAAAAAGGTGGAAAACAGTTATGAGCAAGAATTAAACCATTATTCTTAGATTATATTGCCTGTAGGAAATTTTGGTCTCAGTTACTAAACGGACTACCGTCACTTATCGTGTATTATCAGTCGTAAACAAACTTTGTCAAGATGGCCAGTAAAAGAAAAGCGTTATGTTTTATATGTGTTTAGAATAATTAACCTGTTGATAGTAATCAAATTAGAAATTATTGTAGGTAATTGGTTAAATTTGTTTCTCTCCCTATGACGAAAGCTCTCTATAACGAAAAAGTGCTCGGTCCCTTGAAATTCGTTATAAAGAGTTTACACTATATATATATACTAGTGGACCCCACAGACGTTGTCCTGCATGATAATTAAAGCGATTAGGATATTAAGCAAAGTATGAAAGTACCGACTGCAGTGCCATCTGCCGGGCTGATTTGTGAATCTAAACCATTCCCAGATCCCCTTGAACACACACAAAAAAGTTCATCAAAATCGGTCCAGTCGTTTGAGAGAAGTTCAGTGACATACACACTCACAGAAGAATTATATATATATAAATTAATATTTTTTAAGTTTCGTACTGAAGTATGTTTCTAATTTAGTATTAAAGTATTTGTGTAAAAATCTCGAATGACTAAGTCTACTAAAAATGTAGTGGCCACTTAAAGGACCAAAAAAAATTTGGTATTTTAACTTAAACTCAATATATATAAGAGCAGGTTCTCTTTCCGTACAGACTCGTCGATGATCTAATGCCGCTTTTCTTATAAAGACAAAATTACCTTTTCAGAACATGTATTCTGCACGGAGACCAGACCCTACAACCAAGGTGCCAGATTAACAGCATTCGAGTTGGTGCATGAGAAGATTCCTGCTACTCTTATTGTAGACAGTATGGTGGCTGCTCTTATGCATGTCAGAAAGATTGGTGCCGTCGTGGTTGGCGCTGATAGGGTAAGATCTATCTACCCTCATTGTGTTAAATTAAAGTGATTTTGTAAAGTATACCCACCCTAAATACCTGTCAATTATATTATATGTCCCGAGAAAGGCGAGGCTATATCTAAAAAAATACTAAACCGATTTTAATTTTACGTATCTTTGGGAAATACTTGATTTAAGAATAATTTTTGGATTTCTTAGTTTCTGAGAAACCTAAATAGATCATCATTGTCAAACATTCCATTACAACAATATCAAATACATGTTGACTAATAACTAACTAAGTTTGTTAATACATATAGTAAACCTTCTTCTATGTTTTTCCCTAAATCATGTCCATGAATAATTGTATCATTATAAGATAATAAAGATCATAAAAAAAGTTTTAGTATAAACTAAAATTCAACAATTTTTTTATGTTTTGGAATATTTTATTTATATTATTGCTCCTATTTACAGGTAGCGGCAAATGGAGACACAGCGAATAAAATTGGTACATATCAAATAGCAATTGTGGCAAAATACCATAATGTACCATTTTATGTGGCTGCACCGTTCACATCTATTGATATAAATGTGCCATCTGGGGAACATATCAAGATTGAGGAGAGACCGGATAAAGAAATGACGCATATTGGTGATAGGAGGATCGCTGCTCCTGGTAAGTTCACATTCTAGACCATGATTCAAAATTTAGCCCTAATGTGTCAAGAAAAGACTTACTATATACTAGAAAGTTTCTGTTATTGTACTTATTCTAATGTACATACTAATTACTATCTATATTAAAAAATGTATTTTATTTTTAATTATTTATATACTAATAGAAATATAAAAATTTAGGTAATATTGATTTCATAATGTGGTCTTGTGTTCGGATATTGCACTTATATATCCTAAAGTTCTCAAATTAACACTAAAAAATATTTTGTTCTAGGTATAAATTGTTGGAATCCATCATTTGACATCACTCCAGCTTTCTTGATCACTGGAATAATAACAGAAAAAGGTGTTTTTCTCCCACACATGTTAAAAACACTATTCCCCATATAATTTTAAGTCTATAATGTTCCTGATGAAATATAATATATAAGCCAGAAGTAATTGATGCTATAAGCTAGACTTAAGCTAACTATAATATGCTTTTTATACCTTTTATAACAGTTTTAAGATATATTTTCTTACGCGATGATGCTTTGTCGATTGCTTACTTAGCATTTTTACAGAAGTTTAAAACTGACCATCGCCATGCTCCATTACTGTATAAAAAAATGTTTCAGCCTTTTTTCAAAGCTGATACATATCTATTTTGTAAACTAGTTTTAATCTAAATAAACTTAAATTTATATAACGCTGTTTTATTTGTTTTATACGTATATTGTTTTCTTCTGTACACGCTAGCTTCTGCAATGGCAATATAATAAATTAACAAAACGATTTTAGTCCGAACAGTACAAAATTATACTTAATAGTCTGTAGCGTAAGCCCACGATCAGACTTGCCATTGCTAAAAAAAGTACAAAAATATTTTTGTTCAAGAAACCCTAGGTAGGGTGACCAGCGTGGTGTGACTAGACTTTGTAAAAGGAAAATTATAAAACTAAGGACTCACATTTGTTCTGTTAATAAATAAATTTAAAATAAAAACCTTTATATCTTTTATTCAAATAATGTTTGATAAAGAAAATATATATCAAATGTACATAGTAGAAGAGAAAAGAGTCTTTGTTCATAGTAGAAGAGAAAAGAGTCCGTTTTAAAAAAAAACGCTTGAAACAGCGTTGGCAATCGAAATAAATTATAGAATAAATCAAAGATAATGCAAAAATTGTATTCATTATAAAATCAAATTGTAAGTTGTTAACTGTTAAGTGGTAACACAGACTCGTAGTCCGACATAAATCCAATATGTCAGTCAAGATATGGCAAACTACTGAAATTACTGTTTTATTTGATTGTTAAGTTTATTGTGCGGTATAAGGATAATTTTTAATTAAACACGATGCATTCGAGTATTAAAGTCATTGATTTTCCATTATAACGTCGTGCAAGTTATGTTATTAGTTAATTTATTAGTGAAATAAAAATAGTTGTTGTTATTTGTTTCAACAAAGCAAAGCTGCAATTTCGTTATAAGAATATGTATTGTTAATAAGTGTGCTGTGAATTTAGATATAATGTGTGAGGATTATCGGTTGTAATGTAAATAAAAAAAATATTGTTTGTGCGCGCATGCGTTTCTATCGAAAACAGACAAAGGTTTTGTGTGGTTTTAAAATCAGCTGTGTGCAATGACTTAGTGCTACCTAAAGTGTTTGTTTGTGAGCGACAATGTTTAGTGAAATTGGATACACAATTTTTCTACTACTTGCCCTGCCTTACATAGAGAGTGGTAAGTTATAACTGTACAATCGACACTTATGTACACTTGTATAGGTATACAAATATGTGGCAATCACTGATGAATCAACTTGTTATTCTGACTGTACAATTTTCAGAATTAGATGGTTAGACCATTGATTCTGTAATTTTGGAGGTCACCCTAATAATAATCTATTTGCTTCATACCAACTTTAAAAGTTTAATATAAAACTATATTTTAAAAAGAACTAAGCTGGAGTAACAAAGCCAGAGAACTATATATACTTATACTATGATAATAAACAGGGATTCATGTTGAACCAAAAAACATTGATTTTAACTTATAGAAAGAAGAAGTTTCTAATATTAAGAAATTAAAAGTCTTCTCTTCTTAATATGAAAGATTGGGTAGATACATTTCTGCTTTCTTTTCATGATTCATTCTTATCGCAAAACAATTATTGTTTTACTGCAAATTTAAGTCCTTCAGGTTGATCTTCCACTCAAGAGTTGGCCAAATGAGTGAGATTTCATCAATAATATGCAAACTCTTAACAATGCAACCATTTTGAAATGTAAAGTATTGTATTAATGTTGTTAAAGTTGGGGAATTTACCTTACATTCTACAGAAAGCATTACATACCTATCTTGTATTTAAAAAATATTCAAACTAAAACTGTTTTTTACTCAGTGATTGTACTGCTATTGTAATTATTTAATTGTGGATTTAAAACCTATTTAAAAGTTAAAATTATATTGCTGAGGTTCCTTTACTTTGCTGTAACACAAAACTTAATGTTGTTAAATATTGTGCTGATAATTTGTTATTGCTAATACTTCCTAATTTATAATCTTCCACTTTAGCTCAGTTGATCAAGCTTAATTCAAGGACATTTTATTTATGGTCCTATTCAAATATAAATATGTGAGGGCCCTCAGAACAATTGTACAAAAAGTACAACCAACACAATGTGAAACAGTTTCTTCACAAAACGCAACAGAGGTTTATCGATAATAACCAAAGATCTTACAATATCTTATTTAATGCTTATGGGGTATGAATTGTTATTCCTGTTATCAGACAAATACTTAGGCTCATATTAAAAATTAATTTTCCTTCAAATTCTCAAACATCGACAAAAAATATTGTGGTTTTTGGAGTCAAGTACAATTCTCAACCACACATTTTTGAGGTGGTATTCACAAAGACTGAAAGAAAATTTATTATTAAACAATTTAAACAAAGAGTTTTACAGTAAAATATAAGAAACATATTGGCTTTATAATTTACCCACAAAGCAGTACACAACACATCCTCATTGTCAAATATGACGGTCCATTATTCTTGTTCCACTTTCACATGTATCAATGCTCAATGAATTGGTTAAAGGCATGGAACCAGTTCTGAATCACTGTAGCCACGCCTACGCGTCTAGATATTTGCGAGTTTGATTAGCTGTAAAACTTTATATGGTTTAATGGCAATAACTGTTACAGTCATTCGAGAGCATAATTATTATACAATTATTTTCAGATTTTTATCTAGTATGAGACCAAATTATGATTTTTATTTAGCCTATACTCTTTATAATTATCAGTAATATATAACCTACTGGCTTATAAAGTTTGCGTCAACTTTGATCATATCTTCTATTTATGGTAAATATAGTACAGAGCCCTATCTAGTATTATTTGGTAACGGTATTCTTATCATCATGTACTAAATAAAATACGATCTTATGTATAAGCATGCCTTTCTTATAAGGCCCGTTTTCTTGAAAATCGCTGGCTATACGAAACTCGTATCGCCTTACAAAGTCAACTGCTGACACAGTTGACACCTTATAGACAGTTTGCTTTTGGCTTAAGTGATTCATTCGCCGAAGTCACCAACGAACCCGCTTGACGCGCACAAAAAGCTACTTAAACGAAGTACCGTTGTTTCGACTCGAGTATCGGTCAGGCGAGGGACAGATTGCGAATTGCATAAAGATGCTGGGTTTGGATGATATTGATAATTTTATTAGTATCGGATAGTAACAGGATTACAGAATGTGGTTATAAACGACGCTGATCAAATAGAAAATGTAGAGATAACAGCCGAAGAAGTTTGTTTATTAGAATTTTTATTTAATCATTGATTCAATCGCTTAAGTCTTGAACTACCTTAACTTAAATACCTTTGTTAGCTAACTAAAGGGACATTGAACGATGTATCTGAGTTTTGCTGTTTTGAGCTGCCAAAGAAAGTCCACATTTAGCTAAATACTTGTCTGTAAAAAATTAAGAGATTGATAAAACTTGTGTGTAATTTATGTTTTTATACGTTCACAATGAAATGGACGATGAGAACATGTTTGAAGCGTGCGAATTACAGATGCTACTTTATTTGTGCCCTCAACTGGTCCAGAAATTATTTCTACTCACATCCATGTTCCTTTGTGTCTAATTCAGTCGCGGAGTGGAATGACCTACTTCACGCATAACAAAATTATTACATTTTTCCACACGGTTTTATTTTTGTAATTTAAAGCTTTTCTTTCCTTGTTTTATCTACGATGTATGATTATATATGAGTTGGGAATTTTGGTGCGAAGAGCTGAAGTTGATATGAGCGCAAGATGAATGCTAAAGCAATTTTATTTTTAAAATGGCGGCTTTTAGCTATTCAGGATAAAGTAACGGCACAAGGTAATTGCCCCGACCAATGCTCTTGTGATTCTAATTGCCTAGATCCGTCGATTGTTACTGAAATTGAGTTATCCGTTACAACTTTAAATTGTTAACATTTAAATAAAAATAGGCCATAGGTAACAATTAATATAAGTGATATGTCACTAAAAATCTCATAATAAAATTGTCCTTCTATCGTAACTAAGCTTCGAATTATCCATATAAAAGTTTACACCCTTTTCTGCCTACTATCCGTTGCTGCATTTCCAGTCTACCACTTTAAAACTGTAGCGAGCTGAATGAAATAAGAGAAAATATATTTTAATTTTATTTCGAGTGAAGTATTCGTACCTACTGTAATTTTCGCCCTAGACTGATTTCAGCTTGTGCACGACGAAATACCGAGACGAAAATAATTATGGCTGTAGTAAAAAATTAAGAAGAGTTTTACAAAGATCTCACCGGCCAGACTGGCTCGTTTCAATTACAATGATTATTTTTGCTATGCAGACGACTGTATTATGAATAATAAGTACTTCGTGCACATGGGAGTAATTACTCGTAATTATTAAGGAAAAGTAAGCAATTAGGGTAATTTAAGGCAAATAATACATTGTATTAATTATTGTGAGGAAAACTCATTTTCAGTATTATTAAATTATGATTAATCGTCATGTTGGTTTTCCTGATATATAATGTATTTATATATTTGGGAAACTAAACAGATCCATCTCTATACAATAAAAAAGTGATAGAATAAACACATTGGATCCACAAAAAGTTTCACTAATAGAAAATATGATACAGAGCAAAGCAAAACAAAACATGACAGCACAAAATTTATAATGATGATATTAATTTATCCCTAATGGGAAAGGCAAAGGACTTTAGTCAGTCCATACAGCCAGGTCTTGTTCTTGGTAATAATTGGAGAATTTTGGTAGTTTTAAAGGCCGAAGTCACGTCTTACGTAGTTAAGGGACCATCTTCACAAAATTTATTAATACTGGAGAACGAC